ATTGAGGCAGGAGATAGACGGGCCCCAGGCTGAGCAGCTGAAGTCTGTCCCCTGTGGACAGATACTCTAAGATAAAGATAATGGCAGGGGGAGAGAGGAGCTGAGCCCTGCCTGGATAAAAGATAAAGAGACCACATATTTCTCATTCTCGAGGTCAGGGAGAACTTCCCGACTACACATGTGCAGAAAGGCTCCTCGGGGGCCAAAAAAGGAGGGGGGCGCCACCCCATATTAGATGGTGTCAACCTCCCCACAGGCCTCTACACTGGAATCCATCTTGGCTAAGAGATGCGCGTGCACACAGGGGAGGACCCTGAGTTATACCAAATACGGACTCAGAGACAGGCAAAGTGAAATGATTGACCAGAGGAAACCCAGAAGAAATGCCCTGTATAAATGATTTGAACTACCACGAAGGTGCAACTCTCTCTCTGAGCCCACCCATGCGTGTCTATTCACATGTACTCTTTTTTTCCTCCTAGTAAACACTTCACTTTTTTTACTACTTTCCATCCCATTATTGAAATTCATTTCTACAAAGCAGACAAGCCAGGGCCTTGTCACTAACCACTGGCCCTCGTACCCTGGTAGCTAGGATTCAGTGCTCTCACTGCTGTGGCCTGGCTTCAGTCTCTGGTCGGCGAACTGAGATCCTGCTTCAAGCCACTGCCGGCCGAGGCCACCCAAGAGCAGAATATTATTCAGCCTTAAAAAGGAAGCAGGGCTTCCCTGGTGGCGCAGTGGTTGAAAGTCCGCCTGCTGATGCAGGGGACACGGGTTCGTGCCCCGGTCCGGGAAGATCCCACATGCCGCGGAGCGGCTGGGCCCGTGAGCCGTGGCCGCTGAGCCTGCGCGTCCGGAGCCTGTGCTCCGCAACGGGAGAGGCCACAACAGTGAGAGGCCCGCGTACCGAAAAAAAAAAAAAACAAAAAAGGAAGGAGATTCTGGCTCCTGCTACAACATGGCTGAACCTGGAGGGCTTTATGCTGAGTGAAAGAAGCTACACACAAAATGACACTTTACTGTATGATTCCACTTACATGAGGTCCCCAGAGCCATCACGTTCATAGAGACAGAGAGTGACAATTACTGTATGATTCCACTTATATGAGGTCCCCAGAGCCATCACGTTCATAGAGACAGAGAGTAGCATGGTGATTGCCAGGGTCTGGGGGAGGGGAGAACGGCGAGTCAGTCTTTACTGGGGGCAGGGTTTCAGTTTGGGAGGATGAAAAAGTTTGGAAATGGATAGTGGTGATGGTTGCACAACAATGCGAGTACATTGAGTGCCGTGAGATTCCACACTCTGATACGGTTAATTTTACGTTACCCGAGTTTCATCTCAATAAAAAAGACACTTTTTTTTTTTAAACAACAAAACATGGCTGGCCAGATTCAGGCCATAGTTTGCCAACCCCTGACTTAATCCATTCTTCTTCAACTTCCCCTCCTGTTTCTCCCCACTTTTCCCAACCTTAAGCTAAACTCTAGCATCGCCCTTATGCTCAGCCCCCCCTCCAGTCTCACCTGAACCCTCTGGTTCGGCCTCCCCGCCCTTCCCCCACCCGCCTTAACCTACAGTAATCCCGCCCCCACTATTTACCCAAGCCTCCTTGTCACAACACCTGCCAACAGGGCAGGACCACCCAGGGAATGGCAACAAAATGCACAGTCAGTTCCTGGAGGGTGTAACACAATTATGTGATTCATGACCTACGTAAGATTACATTTCGTTCCATAATTTGTTCTATTGCATTATAGTTATTCCGCTCCTAACCCTGCAATTACATAGAATGGTTGCTATGATTACGCAGCCTGCAATTACACAATCATTCTTACCATCACCACAACGTACAGTCATAAACGAGGGGGAGTGGTGGGTTGATATCAGCACCCACTCCCACCCAACCCCTTTCTGGGCAGAAGCTGCAAAGCCGCAGCCACGCTGGAGGAAGTCCCTGCAGCTGTGCCTGTGCTCCGGTCCACCGGCCAGAGGTGACCTGGGGGCGGTTTGGAAGGCAGAAGAAACCGGAGCTGTCTTGGTTTCGCTTCCTCGTCCCTCTGCCGGCAGCAGGGCATGGAAGCATCTGATACTTTGGAATCCAAATTCCCTTGTTCAGTGACAAGCTTGGAGGGCACTGAAAAGCAGTTGTGATGGAGGCAAAGGCAGCATCCTATTCCTGAATCACAGAGACAGGGTGTGTGCCCCAGGTTGGAGGTTTCAAGGACCTCCCCGACTCTTCGCCTTCTGTGAGCGTGGGGTGCCTCAGTTCCCCCGGTGAGCCAGTTCTGTGGAGTCCTTCCTGTAGGAATGTTCTGGAAGGAAGGATGCGGTTCTCCCGGATGTTCAGAGAGCAAAGGGGAGATCAGAGTTAGGTAACTGGATGGGGGCATCGAAAGAAAATTCAGGTTCCCAGGCACCACCTCCAAGCTTCTGACCCCTTCAATCTGGAGGCAGAGCCTGAGAATCTACGTTTGAATCAGAGACATTTCATAGCAAAGGAAATTTCACTCATGCCACAAAGAAGACTCTTCTAGAGACTTCTGTCCCCAAAGGGCTGAATGGAATTGGGTGTAGGGACTGTGGACTTTTGGGGCCGGATCATTCTTTGTTATGGGTCCCCCCTGTGCACTCAGGGAATTTAATTTCTGTCCACTAGATGCCAGGAGCACCCACCCCCAGTCATGACAACCAGAAACGTCTCCAGACATCGCCAAATGTCCCTGAGGGACAAAATCCGCGCCCCCCGCCCCAAATTGAGATTCACCAGGTTAAAATAAGATTTGGAAACATGGCATGTAACGGTAACACATGAGAAACGACTCCAGTGTTCTACGAGAGGGGACTGGTTAATCAACTGGGATCATCCACCCTCGCGGATACATGATGAATAACTAAGATTTAACAAGAAGAGAAAACATGGCAGCCTCTACTGAAACTTCAAGGGCGCATTTCTGTTAACCCAACAATCCCACCTGTATCAACTTACCCAACTGAAATAAAAACTCCAGGAGGAAAGATGGATTGTATAGTACTGTTCATTGCCGGGCTGTGATATTCTTCCATCAGGATGATTGAATAAATGCTGGTCCATCCTGATCACAGCCTATCTTATTGTATGTAACAATCCGAAAAGAGCTGGTAGACATCTGCGCTGATTAGAATGTCTACAGTATGTTGTTAAATTTAAAAAGAAAATTGCTGAAAAAAATCCGGGTACAATTTGATCCCATGTTTATGAAATTAAAATGTGTTGTGTGGGAGAAAAAGAAAAAAGCAGGTTGTAACAGAGTTTATGTAACACGAATCCTCTTTTTCAAAACATGTATATATTTGTACCATGCCAATGGGTAAGACTGAAAGGTTTGTCACTAAAAATTTAGGAGTTGTTGTCTCTCAGGACGTGTGATTTAATTTTGTTTTTTTTGGTTTGCTTAGCTGTATGTTCTCATGTTTCCCCAAGGATCACACACCATCTGATATTTTGTAAAAGCCTAGGGGATATGCCTGCACACCCTAAAAGGGCTTGAGCATCTTGAGAACTCTTACTTGATCCAGAAAATTCAAATGTTGTTGAGGTTGGATAAATGCCCCACCTCCCTCGCCCCTGGGGCGGGACCACTCTATGCTGCCCCCACCCCGCCGAGTCAATTGCTCACTGGCACCCCCTGGAGGGCTCCTTCCCTCTCTGCCTCACGTCCCCACCGCCATCAGGGTTTCCTGGGGTCACCTCTCGGATAATTCAAATCCTCATCTTGGGATCTGTTTTCTGGAGACTCCCAACTATGACAGCCCCCCTCTTCATTCTGTTATAGGCCCCCTCTTCATTGTTATTTGACCCCGCAGGATAGAGTGAGGTTGACCATCTGTCGTCCCCGGGCTCTTTTGGGCAAGCTTTATGGGGCACACTGGAATCCCGGGGTCTCACTCCCCCGACCGCACCTGGTTTCCTCCCACATCTTGGCCTGAAGCGGAGGGGTGGGGAATGTGGGTGGTACATAGGTTGTGAGCAGAGCATTGGGCCAAGAAGGGAACACAGATGTATGTGAAAACCAACCAGCAACATTTAATAAAAAAATAAGCAAGTTATCCGGGACCCGACCCGGACAGCAGTTAGTCATCCCTCAGAGAATGAGGCACTGCTGCTGCGCTCTGACATTCGTTTCAGGCTTAAGACCCAGCTAGTCCTCCAGCCTGTGCCGGGGGACGTTCTGCCCAGGCCGTGGGTAGCGCCCCAGTGCAGCGGAGCCCACGCGAGGCCCCAGACGCATGATCCCACCAAAGGCTTGGACAGAGGAACCCCATCGAGCAGGCAGAGACCACACCCGACGTGCAGGGCAGGGCGGTCAAGCAACTGAGACCAGGAGGGGGAATGGGAGATCCCGCCCCCCACCTTCACTCCTCACCCCCTCCAGGGGGGCCGGGTCTAGCAGGGGGGCCTTGCATGAGGACATGGGGCTGCTGGAACCCATGGCTGCCCCTGGCAAGGGAAGAGCCACCCCCTCTCCTGGGCGGTGGACAGGGGATGTTATCTGCACACGGCTTGGGTGACGGGGGGTGGGGGGAAATGAGGAATCAAACTCAGTCAACCCCACTGGGAGTCCAGGAGGTCAGGCACACAGCCAGCACTCAATAAATGCTTGCTGCATGAAGAAACGAAAGGACTCCTTCATCTCTGTTGGTGATCAGATGCTGACTGAACAGCTGTCATCCTGTTTTGTATCACCAGTGCCCGGCACACAGGAGATGCTCTCTGGATGTGTGGGGAAGAAACCACTTAGGAGTGAAAAGCACCTTGTTTATCTTCAGCCCTAGCACAAAGCTCAGCTCCCAGCACACAGCAGGCACTCAGTAAATGCACCGAGTCAGTAAGGACTTTTGTGTTGCAAGTACCAGACACATAGTAGGTGCTCAATATGTGTCTGAATAAATGAAAGTTTACCTCACTAGTCCCAGAGCCTGGAATGGTGCCCAGCATACAGTAGGCACTCAATAAATACTCGAATGAATTCAAACAGTGAATGTGTATCACTAGCGCCTGCTTCTTGATGGGGGAATCAATAATGCTTGACTACTGGATCCATCACCGAGGGAGGGAATAATCATGCCTCATTCACTGCCAGAACACAGGAACCTGGTACCCAGTAATCGCTTAAAGTGTTGGGCGCACGAACTGTTGCCACCCAATCCACCTGTTCCTGGCATACAGTAGGCACCTCCGTTAATGCTGCCTGCATGCACGTGATTGCTGAGGAAGAGCTGGCTGGACGCCGCCCTGTGTGGGGAGCCCTCCTTGGCCTGCCAGGGGTCCGCAGGGGCCCCCGCTGTCCCCGGCAGGCGTGCGGGGGCCGGGCCAGCGACAGGCTGCTTTGGATTCATGGCCACCGCCCCTCAGAGCTCTCAGAGCTCATCCCGGGCAGCGCTGTCCAGGGGGGACTGCAGCACGTCAGAGTTCTTGGCCTCGCGGCTCAGGGCCTGCTGCTCGCGCATCTTCTGGGATTTGGCCCGGTCCCAGTCGGTCTTGACGTGCTCGTTGTTCCACACAACCGAGGTCTCCGTGTCGCTCACGTACCCGTCGTCCCCTGTGTAGTGTGTGGGGTAGACGAGCAGGGGCTCCACGGAGAAGGCGCGCAGGTCCCGAGGGGAGAAGTGGGCCTTGTATTCAGACCTGCAGGGGAGGAGGGGCACGGGGGCCGCGGTGGGTTGGGGGGTAAGAGACGAATGGAGACAGAAGTGGGTGGCGGGGGGGGGGGGAGGGCGGCGGCTAGGGACCAGATGGAGGAAGCAGGCAGAGGAAACGCCACCTCCCTGGGACCCACGATCCTCACGCCCCCACCCAGGCCAGCTCCACAGCGAGACCCCAGCCCGCCTGCCCACCGCCACCCCCTCTCACACTGGGTGCTTGTCGAACATGACCGGCAAGAACTCGTCCACGGGCAGCATCTTGGAGAGTGGCCGGGCGGCCAGCAGCTTGCGGGCGCCTTGCAGGGAGATCACGTAGGCCAGCGTCCAGTACGAGTAGTCGGCCTCCACCAGGTTCCTCACGCGGGGCACAGCCTTTTCGGGGTGCTCCACCTGCATCCGCTTCCGGCCCACGTAGCTGGGGTGCAGAACGGGGGCCCAGTCACCTTCCTCCCGCCTGCCCAGCCAAGAATGCTAATGCAGAGACCCACGGAGCCCCTGTCAGGCCCTGGTGGGGTGGGGAGCAATGAGGAGGCTGGTGTGACTGGACTGGGGTGAGAGCAGGCCCACAGGGGTCTGGGGCCGCAGGGAGGGGAGTGGGCTTTTTCTGAGGGCGCCAGGGACGATTTGGAGCCAGGGAGGCTGTGCCACAGGAAGGAGAGCGGAGCTGAGAGGGGAGCTGCTCTGGGTTCAGAGGGCTGTGAGGCAGGTGGGCAGGAGGGAAGGGGAGAAGCTACTGCTCCTATCAACAGCACGGTCCTGAGTCTGAGGCCCAGAACCCAGATCGGTGCCCCGCACGTGGCGCTAGGGGCAGGGGTGGGGTGGCGAGGATGAACCAACCCACCTACGTGAGACTCCAAGGGACAGTTCCAGAAATATGCTGGCCATACTCTACCTAGCACTGCTCTGAGACCCAGGCTCCCGTGGGCATAGCCCACTCAGCCAAGCCCCCAGGCTTCTGGCCCTGCAACCAAGCTCGGATCATACCCACCACAGGCCACACCCCAAGTTCTTTAGCCACGTCCCCAGTCTTCCGGGTCAAATCTTAGCCTTATTCTCTACCCCACAGGCTCCAGTCAAGTCTCCAAACCCTGAACGAGCTGGCAGGCTTCCACCAGGTCCCTAGGCTTCTGGGTCAAGAACAAGTCCTCCTGCCAAGCTCCCAAAAGTTGGCCCAACATATTCACCTGCAAAGGCCCTCCGACCTAGAGGCTCTAGGCCACACCCTTGAGCTCTGGCCCCTCCCAGGCTCCACTCACATGAGGTCCCAGTCCAGACCCTCCCGTTCCACATCCTGCATAAGGTTCATCAGGCGCCTCTTGAAGAAGATCTCGAAGCGCAGGTCATCCTCGAACACGAGTGATTTCTGCAGCCTGCGGTCCACAACCTGAGGGAGGAGGCCCTGCTGAGATCTTGGAGAGATCAAAGCCAGGCCTGACCCTGAAGCCAGTTCTGCTTAAAAGCTCTGGGGCACCAGAAGAAAAGCAAACTACGCCCCCCCCCCCACACACACACCACCACCACCAATTTGGTTTTTTTGTTTGTTTTTTTTTGCAGGACGCGGGCCTCTCACTGTTGTGGCCTCTCCCGTTGCGGAGCACAGGCTCCGGACGCGCAGCCCACGGGCCCAGCCGCTCCGCGGCACGTGGGATCTTCCCGGACCGGGGCACGAACCCATGTCCCCTGCATCGGCAGGTGGACTCTCAACCGCTGCGCCACCAGGGAAGCCCACCACCACCAATTTGGATCTACCTCCTGGCCAAAACTTCCTCCTCACAACTCGGCAGCAGATTCCACAGCCTCACCTCAGCCTGGCTGCTCCTTCCCAACCCAGGGCCTGGACCTATGCTGTGCCTTTGACACAGAGCACTCTTCCCCCACACAGCAGCAGGTAGGTTCCCTCTCACCCTTCTGGCCTTAGCTCACCTGTCACCTACTCAAGAGGTCCTCCCAGACTATCACCCAAAGCTGCCAGTTGAGGATAATTCATAACCCTGGGCCTCTCCTGTAGATGACTCTCACTTATTTCATTGTCATTCACTTCTTTGTGGATTATTATCAGTCTCCCCACCTCCCAGGGCTGTGAGCCCCCTGAAGGGGGCTGGGTCTATCTTGGTGGCTGTCGTGTCCCCAGCACCAGCATCAGGCTGGGCACACAGTAGGTCCTTGACAAATGTTCCCAGAATGAATGAACTAGCGAATCTTCACAACTGCCCCTGAAGTTGTGACTCCATCATCTGGGGAATCTGAGGCTCAGATTGGGAAATGCCTTCCTTGCTCACAGAGCTCACCCCTCTCAGAGGCAGGGCTGGACTTGAACCTGGATCCCCTCTGGCTCTACAGCTACCTGGACGTCGCAATCCCTGCCCCATGACCTCCACGATGAATATCAGAAAAGGAGGGCAACCTGGCTGAGCACCTGTCACCTCAAACACCAAATGCCCCATCTGGCCTCACGCCTGCCGGTCCCAGGTTCCAGTCTGTGCCTGGCATCGTCGCCCATCATAACCTTTCCTTCCAAGGGTGTGTGATAAGCCTCTGGGGCTAAGGGGGTACCAATGTGTGGGGTCTGCATTAGTTATCGTCGCCATGGCTATTACTCCTACTAGTAAGCTTTGAGCACGGTGCCCAGGCTCTAGATATTTGACAGTGGGTGCACATGAAGAGGTTTCTCCTGGAGGTCCTGGGCCTCAGACCCCACCTGTTTCTAGAGTCAGGCTTAACCCTCCCCAGACTCAGGCTCCACATCTGCACAGAAGGACAGCAGCTCACCCACCCAGGGTTCAGGTGACACATTCACTAAAGAGAGAAGACTGTCTGGGATGCAGGTGATTCCCTCCTTGAGCTGTAAAGAAGGCTGAGGAGGGGCCTGCCCCACTGCGGGACCCACCTCTTTCCAGATGTTATAGTGGCTGAGGAAGCAGCCCAGTTCGCCCTTGGTGAGGGGCCGCCCGTGGTAAGGATCCCGGTAGCCGGGCAGCATCTGGATGCCCAGTGCCTCTACCTGGCTAGTGTTCATGGCTCTGCAAGGGGGGACAGGAGGGGGTCAGTGGAAGACTCTCTCTGCCCGCAATTCCACCATTAGCGACATTCCCCCTTGCCACCCCGCCCCGCAACCTGCGCACCCGTCTTGGACCCAATGTGGGCTGCCAGGGCGTGGTGTACACCACGTGCGCAGACCTGCCAGCACCCTGCGCAGGGTCAGACTCACGTCCGCTCCACAGCCGCCACCCACCAGGTCCACACACCCACACGTGGAGCCGCCCCTCCCCCACCGGGGTGGGACTCACTTGCCGTCCACCGCCTCCACCAGCCGGCACTCGATCTCCTGCTCCTGCAGCGCGCGCAGCATACGTGCCCGTCGGTCCTGCCGCCGCTTCAGGTTGATCATGAAGACCTGTGGCCCAGAGCCTCGGTTGGATCCTCCAGGTCGGCCCCCGGCCCCACCCCCGAGGGGAGGCCCAGCCTACCTCGTCAAAGCCCATCTTGTCTGGCGTCTTAGCGGGCACCGAGATGAACCGCGAGGGCTCCGCGGATGGGTGCTTCACTGGGCGGCAGAGAGAAGCCGAGGGGTCATGGGGGTCATTGGGAAGTGGCGGGGGGGCGGGGAGTGTCCAGCCTCTTTCCAACGCTCCCTCCCCACCCTCTGCGGGGCTCCCTGTCATCCCGAGCTCCTCAGCTTGGTGCTGGAAACCCTGTCCGACACGGCCCCGCTCACAACATCAGTGCTAGTCTCGCCTCCGCCTCCTACCCACTCTGGCTGTTGGCACTGCTCCAGGCTTACCCATCCCCCATTCCTACCTCTGGACCTTTGCACATGCTGGGCCTCTACTGAAATACCCTTCCTTCCTCCCCTCCTCCCCCTGAGTTATCAGCTAAGAGGCCTTCTGGGACGGGGCGGGGGGTGCGTGGGTGGCAGCAGAGGAGTCTCCTGACCTCCCCAGGCTGTCAGGTACCTCTTTGGGGGTCCCCACAGCGCCTGGGCTTCCGTCAAAGCCTCATTCTGCTGTCCTACCTTGCTGGCTCCCTGATTATCTCCCATGAGCTCTGCCAGACGGATACCAGGTCTGTCCACTCACACTGGCTCCCTACGCCCAACACACAGAGCTCGGCACAAACTCATAAACTGAACAAAGGAATGACTCTCCTCATCTATAAAATGGGCTAATAAACCTCTCAGAGGTTTATGTCATGATAAGTTGCCATGAAATCACACACATTGTTTTGGGTTAAACTGTATCCTCCCCAAAAAGATACTTTGGCATCTTGACACTCTGGTACCTCAGAATGTGACCTTATTTAGAAAATAGGATCTTTAATGAGGTCATTAGGGTGGGTCCTAAGCAGTTTGACTGGGGTCCTTATAAAAATGGGAAATTCGGATACAGAGACACACACAGAAGGTAGACGGTGTGAAGATATACAGGGAGATGGCGGCCACGTGACTGGAGTGACACATCTACGAGCCCAGGTATGCCAAGAATTTCAGGGTGTTCGCAATCATTCCCCTTTTAGCTGTTGTGAGCAGTGCTCAGACCATATCCCCGGGGCCCTGTTTTGGTACATCCCTGACAGTTTCCCACAGAAGGATCAGATCCAAGGGGACTGTGAGCCTGGTGAGGCTCCTGGTCATCTACCAGGCTGGCCCAGAAAAGCTGAGTGTGGCATCTGCCTCCCCAGGAACAAAGGCCCTGTGTGAGCTCAAAGGACAGACACAGGCCTCTCTGTCTGGGAGAAGCCTGGGCGAGGCCCAGGGTCAACCTGGCACCTCCCACCTCGCAGCCTGGGCTTCATCCAGGGACACTGTGCCCTGGGGTTTCTTCCTATCCAGGGCCCGTCACAGCTCCCTGCCACCCCCTGCCCTCCTCATGGGAGCCTAGGACCCAAGGGCAAGGCTTTGGGATCTGAAGACTCAAATTCAAATCCCAGGTGCCCTTTCCCTCTCTTTCTCAGCCTCTGCCTGCCCGCTTGGGTGTGGATGGTGAAAGGACCTGCTGATGGGAAGCGGGGGTATCTCTTCATTCTTTCTTATCAGTTCTGGGAAAATGGAGCATATTAGGTCCAGAAGGAGCAACACAATGCAGCCTTTCCAGAGACCCACGTCAAAAAATGTAACACGGGCTTCCCTGGTGGCGCCGTGGTTGAGAGTCCGCCTGCTGATGCAGGGGACATGGGTTTGTGCCCCGGTCCGGGAGGATTCCAGATGCCGCGGAGCGGCTGGGCCCGTGAGCCATGGCTGCTGGGCCTGCGCTTCCAGAGCCTGTGCTCCGCAACAGGAGGGGCCACAACAGTGAGAGGCCCGCGTACCGCAAAAAATAAAAAATAAAAAAATAACACCCCTTAGACCCATCATAGGGTGAAGAATTAAACTTGACCACAGAGAGGTCTGGCCTTTGCTCCCAGCTCCTGGGAGGTTGAAGCCCTTGGAAATGTCTTTGTTTATCTCAGGGCTTGGGCCATACTGGGTATGTATGCCAACAGTGTGATTTGGGGTGGAGGTCTTGGGCTACTTGGTATTGGCTCAATTTCTGCAGGGACTGGAGATGGAGGTTAGCCACGTGGCAATCATCTGTATCTGTGTGTAGGAGCCCCAGTAAAAACCCTGGACATGGAGGCTTGGGAAGCATCCCTGGTTGGCAGTACACCATGCATGTTGTCACATACTGGTGCTAGGAGAAGCAAGCACTGTCCATATGACTCCATGGGAAGGGACGGGGACAATAGGAATCTCTGTGCTTGGAATGCTCCTGGATGTTGCCCCATGCACCTTTTCCCTTTGCTGATTTTAATTTGTGTCCTTTGGCTGTAATAAGTTGTAACTCTGAGTATAACAGCTTCCAGTGAGTTCTGAGTCCCTCTCGTGAATTATCAAACCTGAACATGGTCTTGGGGACCCCAGATTTTGCAACTGGTGTAAGAAGTGAGGGCAACCTTGTGGATATTCCCTAACTTTGCACCCACTGATGCATGTCTAGAACTCTCTCGCACATGGCGATGTTGGAAAAAATGGGAAACGCCCCCCCATGCCGCTCAGGAGAAGGCTGGTAAAGTGACATATGACACAGCCAAGAGTGAATAAATCTGTGGCTGAACATCTAAATGGAATACTACGCAGCAAGACAAGAGAACGAGCCACAGCCACACGCAGCAGCCGGTGACAGCACAGACGCGGACACTGCGCAGAAGACACCGCACTTGAGCAGCCTGACTGATGTGAAGCACAAAAAGGGAAAAAACCCGTCAGCTGGTGGAATCACGACAGTGGGGGACCCCGGGGAGGGCCAGAGCCTGGCCCGTGTCTGGTGACAAGGATATTAAAAACAGAGAACAGCGAGCTCCGAGAGGGAATGCAGGCTTCCTCACCGTTTTCCACATACCTTGCCCTATGCACCTCTTGCATCTGCCTGTCTCTGAGTTGTTTGCTTTTAGATAAGGGTATTTTTTGGTCGTTTATTTTTTAATTGGGCACAGATTGATCAATAAAAACATGATAACATTGAAAAAAAATTTTAATAAAAAAATTAAAAAATAAAATAAAAACAATCATCATGCTGCACACATTTGACCTGTCACTGCTGTGTATGCTAAAACTCAAAGAACAGGATTTACACTGAGCCAAGTTTATGGGGCCAACTGGGAAAGACACCCCATAGTCCATGAGCAGGTAGGGTAGGAAGTTGCTGGATTCCCCACACACAGAGGGCATCACTCTGAGCTTTTCTGTAAGCCTGAAATTTCATTGTAAGAAAGACTTTTTTCTTCTTTGGGCCATACCGCATGGCTTGCGGGATCTCAGTTTCCTGACTAGGGATCAAACCTGTGCCCCCTGCAGTGGAAGTGCAGAGTCTTAACCACTGGACCGCCAGGGAAGTCCCAAAAGATTTTTGAACACATGAAAAATCACATGCACAGCCCGGGAACAGGTACCCACACAGAGGTGGAGAAAAAAGGTGGTTTTCACTAGAACTGTAAGGAAGGATTTGCACAAATATCTGAAACCTCCAGACCCTCCTTCCGTCTGTTCTGTGTGATGTGCTCTGGTGCGTGAGAAACAGGAAAATATTCACGCTTCTGTTGTGCCTTCCGTTTATAACGGCAGCGTAAACAGTCTTCTGACCAAAAATAACAACGGAAATATATGTGAAAAGTTAAACCAGGAAAACTATGGCAGCCTGGAGAGGTTTCTCGGGGTCCGCTTGCCCACAGGAGTTGGCAAGAGGCAGAGACCCACTTCTTATGACTACAGCCTGGTGGGTTTGCCAGGCTGAGCGTGGGCAACTACATGGGACAGACACTTGGGTGTTGCGGGCGTCTTCACCCTGATGACCTTGCGGCCTCCAGGTGTCACCTCAAAAGACCCCAAAGCCCCCACAAAACAAAGGCAGGGTGCCATTCCACCTTCAGCCACAAGGGGGAGCCACAGACAGAAACGGATCAGAGCCGGGCGCGGGGCGGCGGCGGGGGGCGGCACAGACTGAACCTCAGGGCAGGGGCCTGGGCCTCCAAGGCCCTCTCCATCTGTGCAGTGGGAGGAACAGCCATGCTGCTTCCCAGGCCTTCACAGGGATGTGGTCTGCACAGGGCAAGGCCCCCATGGAAGAGGATGCCGTACCACTGTCCGGTTGCTTCAGAGACCCTCAGCCGGGGCACTATCCCCTCCTCAAGCAGCATCGATGGCAGCTCGGCCCTATGCGTTCAGCGCACCTCACCAGAGGGACAGCTGCTAGTTTAACAGTCTACGGATTTATTTGTATATGTGTTAGAGAGACATGAGTTTGCAACCACGGTAAAAATATGTAGTCTCCTTTTTAAAATGTATTCAAGTTAAAAAAAAAAAGTGTCCGTTAAGATAGATATTAAACAAACAATAGTGGGTCTGGAGGGTGGCAGGGACATGAGTGACGAAATGGCCCGAAATGGCTGTGTCCTAGATGCTGCCACGCACATGCAGGGTCATCAGTGAAATCTGCTGCCCTCACTGCTCCTACACCCTCCATGGTTCCTGACTGCCCCGGGGGTAAAAGGCCCGCTCCTCAGCCGAATGTCTGAGGCCCCCGCCCTGGCCCTGCCTGCCAGCCCTGCCCAGCTCACCAGCCCCACTTCTGTCCCGCCGACCTCACCTGTTTCCTGAGCTCACAGCCCCTCCAGCCTCCCGACCTCCACATGTGCTGCTCCCTCGGGCTGCAATCCTCTTATCGGCTAACTCCTACTTACCCTGCATCTTAATGCCACCTCTGCCAGAAAGCCCACCCTCATTTCCCCGAGCATGCCGTGCACAGCTGCTTGCAAGCCAGCACTCTGTGAGAGGGGGGACAACCGTCCACCTGTTCACGCTGGGTTCCCAGTGCCCGGCAAAGAGACTGGCGCCCAGCAGACACTCAGTCAGTGTTCACAGATGCGAGATGGCAGGGAGAGGGAGACGACTCAGCCCTCCCAGGTTGGCGCAAGGCAGACTCACCCATGACCTCCAGCTGCACGTGCATGAAGCTCTCGGCCTCATCCTGGAGGGTGCTGTGTGCCCGCAGTGGCACCGGCAGAAAGCCATACACCTCCTTGTTGCAGATGTACATCTGGACCTCTGGGGCCAAGGAAACAACAATCAAAATTGAAAACAGAGCAGTAAGGCAGTGGAGGCAACCTCTGAACAGAGCATAAGCCTCACAGCCCAGCATGGGGCCAGAGCGTAAATGGGTCCAGCTGTTCCCAGCAACCGGCAGAGACCCCCCCCCCCCTTGGCGCTCCATCTGGGAATTGGAGCCAGAACAGGGGTTCGCAGTGCCAGGAAAGAAGACAAAAAACTTGAGAACTGTTAACGAGCTCCTTGCACCAGTACTGACTCAGTCCCTGCAGGACTCCATGACAAAGCAAACCACAAAACTGCGGGTGAACAGTAAAGATGCACATTTATGCACAAAAATGAGATACAGTTGGACAAACCATGAGTTACATTATCTCTGTGTTAGTCCTTTTCTGAATGGTTTCAAATTTTATAATGAGTATGTATCTTTTTTTAAAGTGATAAACCCAACGAAAACGATTTTCATTGAAGGGCCAGACAGTAAGTATTTAGGTCTGTGGGCCAAACAGTTCTGTCTCAACAACTCAAGTCTGCCTTTGGACCGTGCCCAGAGAGGGCGTGGAAGCTCTGCGCCCCTTCCCCCAAACCTTGCCCCATGCATCTCCTACTCCAGGTTGTTCCCCAGTTATATCCTTTTATAATAAACAGTAACCTAGTGAGTAAACAGGTTTCCCGAGTTCTGTGAGCTGCTCTTGCAAATTAGCAGAACCCAAGGAAGGAATCGCGGAAACCTTTGGTTCCTAGCCATTTGGTCAGAAGCACAGGTGACAACCTGGACTTGCAATCAGCATCTGAAGCAGGGTGGGGGACATAGTTTTGTGGGACTGGGCCCTTAACCTGTGGAATCTGAGGCTATCTCCAAGTAGACAGAGCCAGAACCGAGTTGGAATTGAGCTGAATTCTCAGACACCCTGCTGGGGTCCCAGAATTGCTTGTCGGTGTGGGGAATACACCCCCACCTCCAAACTACACACATAGGAATTGGGTCCAGGAACCCAAAAGACATTCTTAGCTCGCATCCATACGAAAACAGATAGTGGGCCAGATCTGGCCCGTGGGACATATAGTTTGCTGACCCGTGGTTTAAAAATAAATGACAGGTCAGCATATGGCTATGTTTTCTTCCTCTCTAAACTTTTTTTTTTTTTGCCCGAAGTATACAACTAGGGAACAATTATGCTCAACCACAGATATTTGGGGGAATATAGGAAAATATCAAGATGGAAATAACTTTCAATAAGCAGATCTTAAAGACCTGGGGAGTGAAGCCACCCAGCAAAGCCAGGGCTGGAGAGAGAACGGATCCTGGGGATATCATCTGAACACCTGGATACAGCTGCACCTGAAGTCATCGCTGCACCCTGCAGTTCTGGTTCTGTGAACCTTCTGTGGGCTCAGCACTGGTCTCAAAGAAGCAGAGAGACACCCCATGATGGCAAATCCCCTGTGGGCTCACCTGCCTGTTTGCAGGAGAAGGCAAAAACAATGATGTCGTCGAAGGACCAGGTATAGTCAGGGTGGGGAGGGTAGAACACCAAGTTCCTGGATGCCGCCTTCCTCAGGTCAATCAGGAAGGTCGAGTGCACCATGGGGACTGCAAAGCAGCCCCGGCGGTCCCGCTTACGGATGGGGATGTAGGCAGGCGTGCGCTTGTAGTAGCCCTGTGGGGAGGCGGGCAGAGTTTTGCATGGGGGTCCCTAAAGGTGAGGCTGGAGGCCCGGGACAACAGGGGGCACAGAACACCCGGAGAGTAAGACTGGGTGCCAGTTTCTGGCTGTGGTGGGCATTCCCTGAGCGCAGGGCTCTGAGCAGGGCCTGTCAGTCTCCAACCCCAGAGCCTCAGTTGCTGGGCAATAGCACAGAAACACAGGGAAACAGTCAGTCATTTACAGACCCAGCTCAATACTTCTGATCAGAAAAGCAGCATTTGAGAAAGGAAATTAAAAAGCTGAAAAAGGGACTGGATATTTGAGATCCTTTGATTTTAAAATGAAAACATCAGAAGTGGGACTTCAAGAAAGTCAGGGGGCAAATCTTTTAGAAGTTTTAAAAGCTTCTGGAACAGTCCTCTCTCTTCCTCCTACCCTTCACGAAACTGGAATTGTTAGCATAAAACATTTAGATTTCTATGACATACTTCAAAATATAGAAACCACTGACTTATTCACTTTAAAATGGTGAACTTTATATTTTGTGAATTACACATCAATTCAAAACAAAAAGATAGGAGGAGACAGGATGGGTCAGCATCCTGGCTCTAGTCACCTAGCCCCCTTCCCTTGGCACAGCCCTGCTCCATCACCGGCCCCTCACTCTCCCTGGCTTTGCCTAAAACCCCACCCTCATCACTGGGTGGGACAATCAGAGCCTGACATTTTCCTGACTTCAGTAATTGGTTCAGGGGTAGGAGGAGACTGGACAAGGTTCAATCAGAGTAGACTTTGGCTGAATGCTGCTGAGATCATTCCCCAGGAGTTTGAAAATGAAGCCACGCAAGGGATGGAGGAAGAGGAATATTGTTTGAACACCTGGATCAAGCTGTGCCTGAAGTCCCGTCCTGGCACCATCACATCATAGCTATGTGAGCGCAGGCAAGTCACTTCCTCTCTCTGCATTTGTGTTTCTGCCTCAGGAATGGGTGTAGGGGCAGGGGGCACACAGTCGTAGACCCTCCCTCAAGGTCTATTTAAGGATTATCACAATACTGTTTATCCAATGCTCACCATGAGGCAGTGTGAGGATAAGTTAGGCTCCAAATACAGTCCCCAGCACCCCCAGGCCCCTGCCCTACCACGGTAACCCCCTGACCTGGGAGGTCATCCCACACCAGAAGTTGGAGTACGCAGCCCGGGAATCCAGCATGGGGGCCACCACCGTCTTGTTCTCAGCGATGAGCAGGGTCAGTGTGTCAGGGTTGAGAATCAGGTTGTCCGCATCCACAAACTGCAAAACACCCGACATGGCATCAGTGTGGGCCGCCAGTGAGCCGGGCTAGGCCACAGCTTGGAACAGCTGGGGCAGAGGCCGGAGCCCTGGGGAGGGGGGCACCTGGAATAGCACGTGCGGCCCTGGAAGCCACCTGCTCCTCAACAGACAGCCCTGCCCTAAGTCACCAGCAGAGTTACGTTCACACGATGAAATACACGACACTGCAAGGGAAGGGACGGACCACACAGCACGAAGTGACACAAATGGGTCCCACACACGGTGCTGGCGAGCCACGGGAAGTGACAGCGGGGTGCATCACGTGGCTCCTTTTTCTTTTTCTTTTTTTTTTTTTTCGGTACACGGGCCTCTCACTGTTGTGGCCTCTCCCGTTGCGGAGCACAGGTTCCGGACGCGCAGGCTCAGCAGCCATGGCTCACGGGCCCAGCCGCTCCACGGCATGTGGGATCTTCCCGGACCGGGGCACGAACCCGTGTCCCCTGCATCGGCCGGCGGACTCTCAACCACTGCGCCACCAGGGAAGCCCACGTGGCTCCTTTTATGGGAACTTTTAAGATGGGCAGCACTGGTCAGTGAGGAGGACAGTCGGGGCTGGGAGGACCACACTTTTTGCTATGTAAGTTAAATGCCAACAAAAAAATTCGTAAAAATAGGATCTTTACATAAGGCTTTTTTTTTGTTTTAACACCTTGAATGTTGGGGTAAAATGATGATAACTTGTTTGCTCCAGCCTGGTAGGAAACTCACCAACCCATGAACAGGGTCATCATGGTGGGGGGGTGCCTGCTTGTCCCCCCAAAACCGTATGTCACCAACACCTTCCAGAAAGGCCACACCAGAATATTCCTGGCAGGGTTGTTCATCACACAAACTGGGAACAACCCAGGAGTCTAGCAGTGGAGAATCAGCTACAGAAACTTCAGCCCTGCCCTGCTGTCCCCTTGCAGAATGTGTCAAGACAACTGAAAAATCAAGCCACAGAAAATAATTAGGTAAGGACGTTCCTGTCTACCGGGATGTGAAAACACACACAGCATGATATATTATACAACTATTAGGAGGTGGGTTTTTTTTTTTAATGCATTTGGTCCACAGATATGCTTTCTGTTACCCATGCATGGTTTTTCTGTTTTTTAAAAAAAATTATTTATTTTATTTATTTATTTTTGGCTGTGTTGGGTCTTCGTCGCTGTGCGTGGCCTTTCTCTAGTTGCGGCGAGCGGGGGTTACTCTTCGTTGCGGTGCGCAGGCTTCTCATTGCGGTGGCTTTTCTTGTTGCGGAGCACAGGCTCTAGGCGTGCGGGCTTCAGTAGTTGTGGCTCGCAGGCTCAGTAGCTGTGGCTCCCAGGCTCTAGAGCGCAGGCTCAGCAGTTGTGGTGCATGGGCTTAGCTGCTCCGCGGAATGTGGGATCTTCCCGGACGAGGGCTCAAACCCGTGTCCCCTGCATTGGCAGGCGGATTCTTAACCACTGCGCTGCCAGGGAAGCTCCCCATGCAGGATTTTTAGAACGTAGGAATCACTTGCCATAAACAAGAGCAAAAACTAAAATCCCTGCCTTCTCCAGCAACGTGGGAAGGGCATTCACACGTGGCAAGCCCCAGCTGGAGACGGGAGGTGGCTGCCCCTTGGGACAAGCCGTGCGGTCCTGTTATGTTCCTGCCCAGACCCCTGTGGACATTTGAATTTGTGACCTTGGAATACTGATGCAGTGAAAACAGCCAGAACAGTCTGGCAGTTCCTCAGAAAGTGAAACACGGAGTTACGGCAATTCCAGTCCTAAGTACAGACTGAGAGAACTGGAAACAGGGACTCGAACAGACGTCTGCGCACCATGTTTATAGCAGCCTCATCCACAGAAGACAAACTGTGGAAACAACCTAAGTGTCCACTGACGGATGAATGGATAAACAAAACGTGGTCCATCCATACAATGGAATATCACTCAGCCAGAAGGAGTGAAGCACTGACACACGCTACAACCTGGATGAACCCTGAAAACATCAGGCTGAGTGAAGCCAGACCCAGAAGGCTACACAGCGTATGATCCTGTTTATGTGAAATGTCCAGAAGAGGCAAATCCACAGAAACAGACAGCAGATCAGCAGTCACCAGGGGCTGGGGGAGGGGATGCAGAGTGACTGCTCATGGGCACAGGGTTTCCTTTGGGGTGATGGAAACTAGTTTTGGAAGCACACAGAGGTGAAAAAACACAGCCGGAGAGCGAGTCTCCCTGGGAGGTACGACTACAAGGTATGATTTTTTTCTTTCTTTCCAAGCTTCTTGTTGTTTCTTGTATATTTTCTTACAAGTAACACCCACAGTGTTTGTAAAAAGAGAAAACAAGAGGCCATTTTAATAATAATTTCAAAACACTAGACAAATGATTTTACATTCCAATATGGATTACTTAAGTCCCCAATTACAAAAATATACAGTATGTCAAAAGCTGCTTTGAGTTCTGAACCAAAGCCTTGAGTTCCACCCAGGTTTGCTGAGAGAAAAAAGTGAAAACCAGTCAACGTCAAACGATGTAAGCAAAACCCAGGGAAGCAGACAAGGTGGCCCTGGGCTGGACGGTTCTGGGAGGGTCGAGCCCCACTTCTGTTCTTCACTGTTTCTGAGACCCCACCCAGCAGGCTGTCACTTCCCTCTCTAAGCCTCCACTTTCCCATCTATAAAATGGTCTGAGAAGGCACCAACTCACAGGGATCCCAGGAGGAGCCTGTTCCATCCTTCCTCCTCCCAGGAGATGGCTCCGTCCTCCCCACAAGGTTCAGGCAAGGATGTGAGGTCCTTCCGGCACCCACACATCCAGCAGGGCCTGTCCCCTTGGCCTCAGAACGCATCCTGAACCCACAGCCACATACAGGCCCCCACCCTGGCCTCCTGCTGCCCCCCACTCTTGCCCCACAGGCCCTGCTCCCCACAGCAGCCACAGGGACTTCAGAAAATCAGAAATCAGAACCTAGCCCTCTCCTGTTCACATACCCTCCATGGCTCCCCATTACCTTCAAAGTAAAAGCCGCATCCTTCCCTTGGCCTGAATAGTCCGGCCCCCACCTACCACCTCAGCATTACCCGCTCCATCACTCCACTCTGGTTACACTGGCCTCCTCGCCAGTCCTTGAATGCCCCAGGCTTGCTCTCTGCTCTGTTTCCTCTGCCTCAGACACTGGCCCCCAGCTCCCGCTGAGGCTGGCTCCTTGGCTCCTTTAGATCTCTGCTAGAGCCCCCTCCTAAGGGAGGCCCCCCAACCCCTGGTACCTGTGGCCGTGACCTTATTTGGAAATTGGGTCTTTGCAGATGTAATTAAGACGTAAATTAAGGTGGAGTTCACCCCTCCTACACTGTTGGTGGGAATGCAAATTGGTGCAGCCACTATGGAACACAGTGTGGAGGTTCCTCAGAAAACTGAAAACAGAATTACCATATGACCCAGCAATCCCACTCCTGGGCATATTCCCAGACAAACCTGTAATTCAAAAAGATACATGCACCCCTAAGTTCATAGCAGCACTATTTACAATAGCCAAGACATGGAAACAACCTAAGTGTCCATCGATAGAGAAATGGATAAAGAAGATGTGGTATAAATATACTACGGAATATTACTCAGCCATAAAAAAGAAAAAATAATGCCATTTGCAGCCACATGGATGCAACTGGAGATTACCATACTAAGTGAAGTAAGTCAGAAAGAGAAAGACAAACACCATATGATATCACTTATATGTGGAATCTAAAATACGGCACAAATGAACCTATTTACAAAACAGAAACAGACTCACATATATAGAGAACAGACTTGTGGTTGCCAAGCGGGTGGAGGATGGGGGGGAAGGGAAGGACTGGGAGTGCGGGATCAGCAGATGTAAGCTATTATGTATAGGATGGATAAACAACAAGGTCCTACTGTCTAGCACAGGGAACTATATTCAATATCCTGTGATAAACCATAACGGAAAAGAATATAAAATAAATAAACAAATAAAACAATAATTACTTTTAAAAAAAGATGGGGTTCATAGTGGATTAGGGTAGGCCCTAGATTCAGTGACTGGTGACCTTATAAGAAGAGACCACATGACCACAAAAGTAGGGACTGGAGTGATGCAGCCACAAGCCAAGGAACACCTGGAGCCCCCAGAAGCTGGAAGAGGCAAGGAAGGATCCTCCCCTAGAGTGCAGCCCTGCCTGCACCTTGATTTACACTGCTGGCCTCCAGAGCTACAAGACAATAAACTTGCATTGTTTTAAGCCCGCCAGTGTTGGTGTTTTGTTATGGCAGCCCCAGAACACTGATATATCATCAAGTGCCTTTCACAGCACTGGCCGCCTTCTGGTATTTCCTCATGCAGTTTTGTTTGTTTTCTGGTCACATCCACCTTTCCTGGGATGCTAGGAAGGTGGGGCTCAGCCTGTGTGATCCTCACTGTGTCCCCAGGGCCCGGCACGAGGAGGGCATAGGGAGTAGACGATAGATATATGCTGATTAATAAATTAAGAAGGTAGAGACCAAAGCTTGAGGTTTGGCACGTAGATGGAAACCCACCGCGGGCACTGTCAGGCTGGCATCACTGCATTCAACCTCCATGGTGAATGAGGCTCAGCTGTCAATGCCCTGACCATCGCACCAGGGGAGGGGACCATGCCTAGGTCAAGGAGCCAGGCTGAAGGAGCTCACAGGAGACCCGTGATCTGTGGGCACGTAACCCAACATTGCATTCAAAACCTCAACCGGCCCCCTCTTCCCAGTGGCCCAGGAGGAGGAAGTGAAAGTCAGGGCTCAGCAGCTCAGTGTCGCCAACATCCCCCAGCCCCCGCCCCACCCTCCTGCTTCTTGGAGTGACCCAGAGGTCATTATCGTGGTTGCAGAGAGAACTCACATCACTGGTGATGCTGATAAAAGTGGAGATGACCCAAGTGTGCAACTACAGGGGTCGGCTGGGGACACAAAAGCCCATTTGTTCCTGATGATTAAGAATCCAGGTGGCCGAGGATCAAATCCCAGCTCCTCCACTAACCTGCTGTGTTACCTCTGACAACTCACTTCCCTTCTCAGAGTCTCAGTTTCCCCTCTGTAAAATGAGGTTAAGGCTGGCCCCCACCCCCCGCCACTCTGCCTTCCCTTGGATACCCCAGACCTTCGGCTAGGGACCCATGGGTTGGCTGGCCAAGAAACTCACCAGGATGTAATCGGCCCACATGTCCCGGGCCGATTTCAGGGCTGCCTGGCGTAACTTCATGACATGCTCATAGCGTGAGTCAGACCAGTGTTTGGGGCCCTCCTCGTCTGGGTAGGACCTGTGGAGAGGCAGCTGTGATGTG